TAGTAATATATTTACTGAGAAAAATGATGATGTGTTCAATACTTTTTCCCTGTGCCATTCCACATTATTACAAATAACTTCATTTCTGGACATTTATGGTTTGATTTCTTTGTATGTATGGATCACTTGGGTTGTTACCAACATCTGGTGAAAATTTCATGTCATTAGCACCTCTAGTAATATATTTACTGAGAAAAATGATGATGTGTTCAATACTTATTTTACCTGCTGTATATTCAAAGATAAGATAATTTCCAAAACTCACCTATATCCACATGGTTTTTAAATGGTTTTCATTTCCTTGCTGTCTAAGACACAATCAGTTGATTTGATGTTGCAGTTTGGTGACATGTGCGTTGTAATATTTATTCCTTTTCAGCTACTTTTGTATTGGATTTTATAAAGTTTATTGGTTTTTAGGATAAAAGATGCTTCTTCCAAAACCCAGAATGTGACGTTTTCCTAAAATTTCATGGCAATATCTTGAACACCAATGAAGGTAAGAGCAAAAATAGAAAACAAGAAGGTGAAATGGTCACAAAGGCCCCACTGGTTCAGCTATGAAACGCAGCAAGAAAACATGAGCTTATTTCACCTAAACAAACATCCATAACTTCTGTCATACTTGAGATAATCATGTGATTTTTTTTAAATATGGTCTTTAATGTCCTTTTTGAATCCGCTGCCAGATTTGATTTTGAGGCGGGATAACAATTTTATGCACATGGTAAAGAGATTTGGTGTTATCCTCGACAGAACTCATCATCCCAGTCACATATTAGACCTAATAACATCCCATGCTTTCCATATTTTTATCTCAGAAATGTTAATTGCCTTTGTCTCTCTCTCTCTCCACTCACACATAATTTTTTCTGTTATATTAACTCGACTACATTGTAAATGAGAAAAACTACATTAGTATACTGCTGAGTTTAAAATGAATAACATGACTCTGATGTACTGTGTTCTTTATGCAGCAGTGGTTTGAAACACACATGTTTTTAATTAACCAGACACATTAGGTGTGTTTACACAAAGTATCAGTATCAGACCAGTATCCTGATACCAGCYTGAGATTTACTCTGTATCAGTATCAGAAATTAATCTGTGGTATCCAACATCACTAGTGAAACCAATCAGATTAAAAATCAAATGTTACTGTTTTCACCTTGAATGACTGCACAGGACCACTGCAGTATGCTGGAAATATCCCTTTAAATCCAGCAGAAGCAGCCGAGCAGCACTTTGCTGGATGAGAACCAGAGGAGCAAGAAAGAAGTGGAGGAGGAGGAAAAGGAGGGGACGTTAGGAGAAGAAGAAGGGAGGAGGGGAAACGGGAGGGAGGGACACAAAGACCCGGAGASAAAGTTGGAGAGAAAGACTCTGAGCTCGGTGGCCGGGAGAACAGCAGGAACACACCGGGAGAACACCGGGAGAACCGCTCACTCTCTTTCCGTGGATTTCTCCGGTGCGGGGAGCCGCCGGGCACGCGCCTGCTGTGTGTGTGCGTGTCGGTGGAACTTTGGATGAATCTAAGTCCACGATGAGGAGCGAGCCCGTTCTGTTCGCGTCCAGCAGGGGTGAGTGAGCTGGTCTTTCTGGTCTTTCCTGGCCTTCAGTACCTGGCAGGAGTCTCACCATCTTGCCGCATTTCTTTCAATCCGCGTGCGTGCCCCTGCTCTAACGCACGCGCACACGTTGACAGGACAGGGCTGAGCTGTGGTTGATTACCCTTTTAGACTCATTTAGGCCTGGTGGACCTGCACAGGGATCCTCAATGGCTCAGTTTCTCTATTACAGTCTTATTTGAACGTTTGGGACTGCCAGATCCTGCAGGATTTAAAACATAATAGATTTTTTCTTTACATTTATGCACATATGTCACTTTAACCAAMGTTMTTYTTTAGTTTATTTTGGACTTACAGCAGGGCAGGTTAACTCATGCTGGGGGGAGATTTATTGAGCCATTAGCTGTTTGTTTCAGAATCTACTTGCACTTTAATTTGTATTGTTTACTTTCATTATTCTTATAACCACATGTATTCTTGTTAAAATATATCTGATTAAGTTTTATGCGTCATTATTTGAGTTTGCTTTGGGAAATTATGTTAAGGTAGAGAGTCAGAATTCTCAGGTATGAGCAGGTGAGATGAAGTGGAGCAGAAGCCCCGCCCACAGAATGCACAGCTAGAGGCTGTGGCAGAAATAATCCTGAGGGACTTYGAAAAAAAAATTTCAAACTTATTCTAGAGCTGTTTTTCCATATTTTTAAACCGTAAAGGCATGGCTCTACTGATTCCAAAGCTGTTTTGTTTTTTTAAAATCATTAAGTATTTAGAGGTCATCAAAAGTTGAAAATTAGGAAGCAAATGCTGCATTTCCACCATAAAAACAATCACCTCGTAGACTTTGCGTGTCACAATTTTGCAACAATTTTTCAAACTAAACCAGGAAACAAACTAGATAAAACACTAAGATTTTGAAATGACATGTGGGGGTCTAAGCATTAAAAGAGTGACTGAAGATCACAGAAACCTGAACGACGCACTGCCGGGGTCAGACAATACTTCTGTCAAAGTGCCTAAAAATAATGGACAGATTAGTTGTTATTGCTTGCAGCCTTATAACTTTGTCAAATTCAGCTAAACTTTGTTGTATCTGAGATTAGGTATAACTTTACTTTCATTGCCAGTATCACTCCACCCCCTGTTAACAATAAGTGTTAATTAGGTGTCAACGATAGCCATGTGATGTGAGTATCAGTCACATGGAGGCAGTGCTTAAAAGCCTGAATTTTRCCTGAAACTCTCAGACTGAAGAAGTCTCTTGGAAGAGAGACGAAACGTTTCATTAGAGAAGAACCCGTCCAGAGGACCTATACAATGTTTTTCTTTTTTTTTTCTTTTTTTTTTCATAATTGGACAAAAACCCAATTCTGTTTCTTTATATTTTAGGTTGTTCTTCATCCTATAATCTGCCATGAAGGGCAGAGAAATGCATTCTTCCAAGAAAAGGCCAACACACTCAGGCCTTGAGTTGTTCTTCTTAAATGATCAGTCAAATAAACGTCTTCATTTATCAACCACAGCCCATGTTGTAGGGGGCCGACTGACTGAGAGCAGCGTGGACTCTCATCTGACTTAGATTTGTTTTCATCATTCACCTGAGGAGAGTTTATTTTAGCTGAAGTTGTGGCCTCGGTTCACATCTTCTGGCTTTCCTCGTCTTTTGGTTTATGACAGTGTTTTAGGTTAAAAAAAAGTTTGTAGTGTTAGCGTTAACTGCTCTGCACCAACTTCCACCATATGTGTTGTAGGGGTGTAACGATAGAGAAAATTCACGTTTCAGTTCGGTTCAGTACTTAAGTCTCATGGTTTGATATTTTTTCGATACAAAAAAAGAGAAATTTCCATGCCCTTCTTAACTAGTAATTTATTGAAATTACGAAAATTTGTTTAAACTCAAAAAGTACAGTTTTTAAATTAAATATTGCACAGCAAGTTTCTCAGTGGGTTGTGTATTGAACATAAAGCACTGTATTGAATGATTCAATACAGCGACATGTGTTGTTGCGCTCCTAATGTGTTGGGCTCGTATGCTTGATTATAAAAGTGTGTCACAATTTTTTGTGACATTTAACTGCACATAATAGGATTTTGCCCAAACCTTTAGTCCAGTCAACTTTGAAGTAATGTTTTTATAAATAATTATCAATCTTTTTCAGCTGTGGAGTATGGAGGAAGAGGCAATAGTCTTTGTGCGGGCTAAGCTAATAGTTGGTCTATTAGTCTAGTTAGTCTAATAGTTAGCCAAAGAAGTGCCTTTTTTTGTCTTGTTTGTCAGGTTTGTGAAACAAAAATGATATACTGGTGTGAAAGAAGTAGGGATGGACAATATATCAGCATTAACATCGGTATCGTCCGATATTGGTCAGCTTTTAGAATATCGTATCGGTCCGATAAGTAAAACTGGGTCGATAATAACAGACGTTATTGATTTTCCACTTTTTAGCTTTGTGTTTGTGTTTTGAGAGAAGAGATGGTTGGTTGAGTGGTATCTGATCATGATAGTAATAGTGATGCTGCACAGCCAGTAATAAGTGAAGCAGGGAGCCATGCCAGCGGTCTGATTGTTTATTTACGGTAATGAAAAAAGACAAGTGTATTTGTGAGTATATGTATATAAATAATTTGCATGTTTGTGTAATATCGGTAAATATTGGTTATCGGCCATAACACAATCAATAATATTGGATATCATTATTGGCTGAAATTTTCATATCTGTGCATCCCTTGAAAGAACACTACATTAGCTCAAATTAAACCTCCACTTTTTTAACTGTTTACAATGTGTCAGTATCAATTGTCAAACCCTGCTGCTAACTCCTGGTGGACTGATGAATTCAGCAGAACATGGAGGTGCAACAATATCCATCCACATCATTATGATGATTGAGTGACATCAAGGCACAACAAAAACATAGGTCCATGTCATCATCAAATGTCCATCTAACACAGTGATTGAAGTAGATGGGCATATATCCCATCATATTTGTGAAGTGAATCAAAATCTTATCCTGACTACATTTGTGATAAGATGCACATTGTATCATCATCCAAACAAATCAATAAAATGGTATATTGTGATGAAGCTGCTGATTTGTAGAGCATACAGTCAGTCCTGGTTCAGAGTTCAGTTCACACTCAGTCATTCACAGATTCCTGAAAAAAGCAAATATTATAAACAAGATTTCCATGTTTTTTTCAATCTGTACATAATTTTTCACCCAAGATGCTTTAAATCTTCTGCTTTGATGTGAAGTCATWATCTTCTTTAAAAACCTTCAGCTTACTGTACAGCTAATTCGTCATCATCGTTATCATCATCTTTCTGTCCAGCTGGAGCAAACTGAGAAACAAAATGGATGAAGTTCAGTTTTTGGTGGAAAAACAAACTTATACCTTCATCAACTTGTGCTTCATGGAAACATGACAGTGGACCTGGTACTGGAATGGGTTGGTACTGGACTCTGGACTTCCCTGGGTTACAGAGCTGTCTGTCACAGCTAAAGGTAGCTAAATATGAATCTGTTTTCTGATGGGACTATGGTATTGATAGGAATGTAGATCTGATGGGACTGTAGATCTGATGGGACTATGGTACTGACGGGACTGTAGATCTGATGGGACTATGGTACTGACGGGACTGTAGATCTGATGGGACTATGGTACTGACAGGACTGTAGGTCTGATGGGACTGTAGATCTGATGGGACCATGGTACTGATGGGACTATGGTACTGACGGGACTGTAGATCTGGTGGGACTATGGTACTGATGGGACTGTAGGTCTGATGGGACTGTAGATTTGATGGTACTATGGTTCTGATGGGATTATGGTACTGATGGGACTATTCTGTTGGGACTGTAGATCTGATGGGACTGTAGATCTGATGGGACTGTAGATCTGATGGGACTGTAGATCTGATGGGACCATGGTACTGATGGGACTATGGTACTGACGGGACTGTAGATCTGGTGGGACTATGGTACTGATGGGACTGTAGGTCTGATGGGACTGTAGATTTGATGGGACTGTAGATCTGGTGGGACTATGGTACTGATGGGACTGTAGATCTGATGGGACTGTAGATCTAATGGGACTATGGTGCTGATGGGACTATGGTTCTGATGGGACTGTAGATCTGATAGGACTATGGTTTTGATGGGACTGTAGATCTGATGGGACTGCAGTTCAGGACTCCGGTTCTCCTGACTTGAATGTCCTGTTTCGTACGTCTGAGTTCATGTCTCTGCCTGACAAAAAAAAATTGGATCTGTTTAAAAAAAATAAAAGATTTTGATTCTTTTTGACTTGATCCAGAATTAGTTTTTCACTGTTTGTCGGTGCTTAAAGCTTAAATTACAACTTTAAAATGTAAATGATTACATCGCTGTCAGTTTTGCATTATATGTTTTTTGGAAAGAAATGTTATAAAATATATTCAGTATTTGACGCCAGGTTCACAGGAAGTGCTACAACTTACAGCTACTGCAGTTCTTTCAGTTTAGCACTAATTTCTGTGAGCTGTAACCTGAAACCACAAAATGAGATATTAATCACAGAACCTGACTGTAGTACTGGTTTAGGGTCCAGGTTCCTGGACTGGCAGCTGCCTCATATCAGTATTTTCTTTCTGCTTCAGGCCATGAGAGGAGTCCTGCAATAACAGAACCAGTGCTGGCAGCTGCAGGGTATCAGGTGGCATTTGGTGAGGCGTTCTTACAGACCCCCATTGTGCAGTCCTGTTGTAGTCGTATCTCTGGGTCACATGAGCATGAGCTGAAGCTATTTGGGTTTTGGATTTGGTTAAACCTTTGGTATGCAGTAGTTAAAGAAACTCTGCTGGTTTACCAAACTATTCATTTCTTAGTGTTGAGGTTTTGTGGAATTAGGATGTTGTTCTTAAGGTGTCTGCAGACTGAGACCTGAGCAGTCTGAGTACAGATACCATGGACTTGATGAAAACCAGCTCAATGTTTACAGAATGTAAAAAGAAAATCTCAGATAAGTCCTGATAT